AGAATGTTCTCTTGGTTGTGTCATAGGTAAGGACCTGGTAGAGGGGAATCCATCTAATTCTACGATGCTCTCTGTTCATCTAGGACATTAACCTCAGCCACTTGCTTCCTCTCTGTCCATTCCCATGTACTGCAAGGGACTTTTCTTTTCCAAGATGCCTCCTTTTCCTGAGACGTAGTGCCTTCTAAGGACTGTGTCTGCCTTCAAACACTGTGTCTGCAGTCTACTTGCAATGTCACGTGTACCCATCCCCATGCTAATTTATCCTTCATGGTGAAAAGGAAATTACCTTTCTAGAATACAAATCTGAATATGTTCCTGCTTAGTTAGAATGCTTTAAATGTTCCTTGTTGTCCAGATTTCTTTACAAGGCATAGCTGTTCCTAATCCTTCCTCTAACTACTTAACCAACTTCAGCTTCAGTAGGTTTTCACTCTGTCACGTTCTTTCTCCCCCTGAACTTGGCATATGTCGCTCACTCTGAGGGCACTGTCTTTTTCTACTTGTCTGCTTAGTGATCACACTTTATTTCCTCCATTGTTAACACAAAGGCAGCATCTCTGAGAATTCATCCCTGACCTCCTCAGAGAGAGTTCATAGTTTTCTTGCCTGTGGTTCCAGGAACGTCATACAATACTCTTTGTAATAATGATCACCTTCTCATGTTGCATTCGGAGGCCTGGCTCTCTGATCAGACAATTAATATCTGTTCACACACATTTGTGTCTGCAGTGCCTGTCTCAGGGAAGATCCCGGCTGTCTCGCTTTCAGCAGAAGTCCAGCCTTCTTCAGGCTTTCTGTGGCTTATGATCACACTTTCCTTCAGCACCTAGCCCAGCACCTCTAAGTCTTCTGATCTGGAGCTAACAGGCTGCTTTACCAGAAAGTTCTGTCTCTCACCTGGTTCAACTTTGTCTCCAGAATGTAGTCCTTACAATGTAGGCTGTTGGCAAGATTTTGATGAGATTTATTTTATTTAATTCTCTCGGTGGCACTCTGCTTCCTGAAGGAGAAGAGTTCAGGTTGGATTTTCCTTTCAATTCATACCTAGCAAGAAATTCTGAAGCATTTGTAGTATGGAGGTGAAAACATGTCTTCATTCTTAGCGTGAGAGCCCATCCCTTTTCCTCCCCCTTTTATAGTCCACCAGGTGTTCCAGGTGGTTTCTGGAAAGGTGGATCTCAGAGACTGAACATCTATATTAACATATTAAAGTTTTTCTGAATGTCAATTTGATGCTCTTTAAGTTTAATTTAGTTTAGCATAGTTTTGGATTTTTAAACCACAGTATGCAAGTAAAACTATCATTTTCCTTAGTTATTGCAATCTACTTGAATATGAAGCAAAAGTGGAGCAATCTGCAAGATTACCAAATATCTGTTTTCCCTAGAGGAGATCCTAAGGAGTATTAAGGAGAATGGATTTGATCTGACACAGGTGAAGGAAATGCTCCTAACTCAAGAGCGAGCAGATAAAATTTACTCAAAAATAACAGGAAAAGACTTTTATAAAGATGTATTGGAAATGCTATCTGAGTAAGTTTCTGATATATATATACTTCTTTGCATCATAAAAGTAGTAAANCAAGAGCGAGCAGATAAAATTTACTCAAAAATAACAGGAAAAGACTTTTATAAAGATGTATTGGAAATGCTATCTGAGTAAGTTTCTGATATATATATACTTCTTTGCATCATAAAAGTAGTAAAAGTTCATTATGGAAACTTTGAAGATACAGAAATTAATTAAAACAATGTCTAATCTCATTCATAAAAAGACATCTATTAACTCTCAGGTTCATTTTTCTTTCATTTCCTTCCTTCCCTTTCTATCCTCTTCTCCGCCTTCCTCTTCCTTCCTTCCTTCCTCTTTTCTTTAGGTCTTCACGTTAGATATAGAGGCTGTGGTTTAAATTCCTGCTTTGCTAACATGCTTAGTCTGTGCCTGAGTTTTCTTATCTGTAAAATGGGAATAATAATATTACCTCCCCACAGGCTAAGTAATTGACACATTGACAGCACTTGGAACAGTGCCTGGCACATATTAAGCACTTGTTATTAACTTGACAAATGTTAGCTGTCATTATTCACATCTCTTTTACATGTGTAGATACTTTGTCAAATTTCTTATGGATACACAATATATGAATATTACGATACTAAATAGACTGTTTTAAAACTTCCTCCTTCCACATTACGGATCTGTTCCTGGCAACACATTCCTTTACAATCACTGCATAGGAATTAAAGGCTAATATTTACTGAGTGTTTACTTAATGCCAGGCCTGTGCTGAGCTATATACGCTTTATCTCATTTAGCTCTTATGACAACTCTAGGAAGTAGTTTTTACTAAAATTTCTACTTTGGCTATGAGGGAGCAGAAGACCAGTGCTGGAATTCATTCACAGTCACACAGCTAGTGCATGGCTGGGCCTTGAGCCCAAGAGTGTGTCCTCTTAATAGCCTGCTGCCTGGAGCTACAGTTCACAGTTATTTGAAAACCCTTATTAATTTACTTTGAATTAAAATTTATTGCATATATATATATATGCAAAAACTACATATATTTGCAAATATATGCAAGAGAGAGAGGCCTCTTTAAATGCACATCTTTCTTTTTTGTCCCTCACCATTTGTCAGTGAGTTTAGAAAAGTTGAATGTATAGAGTTCAGACAAAAGACTGAATGGAATATAAGTGGTGATTAGATACAAATAAATAATAAGCAGAAGCCTAGGGTCTTTGCATAACTGTACCATGATGGTTTAGAAAACACATTAACTTTCATTTCTACTGTGGGTTGCATTCCCTGGGAAGCAGACAGAGTTTCGTGTTCTGGCTGTTGATTAAGGGCACTGTGTGTAAGGAGGGTAAGGAAACAGGATGGGGAACAGGGGGATGTCACGATGCAGTGCAGGCTGGACCAGAGCTAGATTGGCCCATGAGAGCTGTCCTGTGTTGGCTGAGGTGAACAGGCCTCTACACCATCACATCAGTCATTGGAGGTGGGCCACCTGGAAATGAGGGTGGCTTGAGCAAGGCAGCTCTGTGCAGTGGAGGCAATCCCTGAAGGGGTTAGACGCTGAAGGGCAACCATGAAGCAACAAGTCCTGGGTCCACCACAATGTCTATATTTCTGGACTCCAAAGTAGAAAAAAATAAAGACTCCATTGACAAATATTCCCTAGAATTAAACTACAACACTCAAGCACTCATCTAGCACAAAAACCAGTTAGAAGAGGAAGAAAAAGGAACACAAAGTTGCATTGCTGGGGACCAAGCTGTGGCACTCTGTCCTTAGCCGTGTATGCAATCTCTACAGTTGTAAATAGCCCACATCTTCCAAAAGTATCATTATTTGCAGGGGTCCATCCTTGGTCATGGCTATGACCAAGTGGAATGCAGTTGCAGAGTGGAGACGATTGATGGGTCCAACAGACCCAGAAGAAGCAAGACTACTGTCCCCAGACTCCATCCGAGCCCAGTTTGGAATAAGTACTTTGAAAAATGCTGTCCATGGATCATCTACTGCCTATGATGCATTTGAGTGCATTGGTAGATTGTTTGAAGAGTCTGTTCCTCAGATTCCTGAGAAAAACTAAAGTATGTACTACGAAGCGTGTACCTCTTTAATTATTATTTCTTCTTTGTTTCTTGCAGTGACTGAGCCTAGGACAAGCCTGTCCTGGCAAGATCAGAACTTTTCCATATTCCTAAATCAAACTTTATTTGCTGCCAGACACACCATGCTTTTCCATAGCAGCCTCACAGCCTCAAAGCTGAGCCTTGCAGATGCCAGTGGCCTGGGGCATTCCAGTGTCATGTAGCCAGGCTGAGGCAGCTGCATCCAGGCAGCAGGAAAGGAGACAGTGCAGTGAGAGAGGCACTCCTGGGTTTGCAAGCCTTGGTCTCAAGCTGTTTCTGTCATCTGCTGTGACACAAAGTGTCTCATGCAGTCCCTCTCCTCGAGTCCCCTGCACTTCTCCACTGTGAATGGCCAAAGTCTCATTCAGTCAGCCAGAACTCTATTGTCTAAGTATTTGGGAACTTGGAACCTACAAACTACCTGTGGGTGATATATGATAATGTGGTAAAATTGAGTATTAGAAATTATAAAATAAATGGAAATCATTTTTATTTTTTGGCAGAACGGTACTTAGTGGGTAGAGGCAGCTACATAATATGTATATGCATTGAGTCTCCTTGTTTACTAAGCAGTGTGGGCAGTGTGGGAGATGGAGTGTAAAACAGATGGCTTTTCCCATCAAATATGTTCTCTTTATTTTCAAAGAGCAGGCTCACAAACGTCCACCGTGTGGCTCTGGCTGCTGCCTTGAGTATGAGTGCACAGCCTCTGCATGTGTGGAGTGCTCTCCCCACCTGGGTGGGCCAAATTGAGGATCAGTCTCCAGAGCATAACGAGAAAGCTCTGTGAAATGCAGGAACCCCTCTATAGCTGACAAGATTCCTCAAGGAGAGAAGAGTACATTGTTCTCTTAATACTGTCATTTAGGCTACGATTTATTCAGTTATAAGAACATTGCATTGAAATATTAGACATATAAAATAAAAGTAAGTTCTAGCATAGTACAGTTTTTTCCATAAGTCCAAGTCAATTATAGAGCAAGGCATGATTGCACAACCCGTGAACATTCATGTGGGAAAACATGTATTGTATGTCTGCTTGAACTGTGAGTTCTTGGTAAATACAGAACTGATGAATGAAGGTTATTACTTTCAGGGAATGCAAATCTAATAGGATAACAAAACTCACAGTCACAATATCTAATCACAACCACCAAAAGACAGTACATTATGGAGCAAGTCAGTGCTGAGTGACTGGCGGGGGTGGGGCGCTGTCACTGAATCTACATTTTGTTTGTAGCTTCTATTAACAATGAGCCTCTCTCCTAACATCTTTGTATCCCTCCCTTTTGTGGTGGGAGGAGTGTTATGATCAATAAAGGGATTTTCCAATGATTGTATAATTTAGTGCTGAACTGGCAAGTATATGTTTCATGGGTAGGAGCTAGAGAAGGTAAAAAACAAAATTGACCTTGAAAAATGAGTAGGATTTTCAGAATCAAAGATGAAGAAGCAAGAAAGAGAATTTAGTTTTGAAAGTTTCTAAACAGTCATGTATACTTCAAAAAGTTCATGAAAATATTTGCATTATTTTTTTATTCTATTTTTCCATGAACTTTCTTAAGTACACACACACACACACACACACACACACACATATATAAAACTCTTGGTGCTTGTAAGTGAAGACATTTTGCTGGTTTCTGTCTTGCTATATGTATACCACACACTGTCGTATCACTCTAAGGGCTAGTATGTGGATCTGTTTCAGACATTCAAGAATCGGATCTTGCTCTATGCTGGACACTGTTTCAAGGCTGGATATACACAGACCTTGTCCTAAAGGAGCTTATGCCTCTAAGAGCAGGAGATAGAAAATGAACATTTATTTTAGGATTACTAGGGGTAAGCACGACTGCTTTGGGCAGATGCACATAAGAAGTGGAGAGAGGGAGAAGGGGATACAAACCAGCCAGGCAGGAGGCATTGCAACAATCCAAGTGAAAGATGACAGAAGCCTGAGCTAATGTAGAAATAGTGAGCTTAGTGATAAGAGGAATGATCAGATAATTTTTAAAAGGCTGCATTACATCCACAGGACTTGGTGATTGACTATCACCCTACCAAAGAAGTGAGAAAAGATAAAGCTTCCTGGCTTGAACAACTGAGAAAATTATCTCACCATTCCCAGAAAGGGGACCCAGAAAAGAGAAGCAGGTTAGAAGGAAATACCATGAGTTACTTTTTGGTCATGTTGGGTAAAGAACATCTGAATGGAGAGTAAGTCAGACCCTCCAGAGCGAGAGAATCAAGAAAGCTCCATTGGAATGATGTCAGGAAAGTGGTGGAGTAGCCAGCTCCGAGCTCCCATCCCTCTGCAGAAACATGGAAAAAACAACCAGAGACTGTGAGACCAACTTTGTCCAAACTCTGGAAAATGATCGAATGTTCACAGTAACCAAGAGAATCGTGACTCAACACAAAGGCAACTTTGAAATGATATGAAAACTTTGTGCCATTTTCACTTGCCGTTGTCCCACCAGGTCTGCAGCTAGGTGACAGTCTTGAAGATGGAAGCCTGCATTCCCAGTGTGGGACCCTAATCCCGGTTCCAGAGAGAACAGAGCAGATCTTACTCACAAATTATTTTATGTGGATAAATTAATTTTGTGCTTGTCTGTTTTAACGTTTCTGGAGGCTGCCTGAGCAAGGCCCTCATGTCTGTTTTACCCAACCTGGAAACCACTCAGGATGGAAAAGTGGTGGGCATTGCTTGAAAACGTTGTACAGTGATTGAAAAAACTACAGTCACCTGGGGCCAAAGTTTATGGTCGAGATATGTTTATATATGTGCATGTCTTATATATATGTGTGTCTCGACCTAAAGCCAGGGAGGAAAACCTAGGGAAAGATTTTCTTTGGGAAATTAGGGCATTTAAAGGCTCTAGTGCACACCTGGAAATTTTAAAAGCTATGCACATGCCTAGGACAAAAAAGAATGCTCAGGAAAAAAAAAAAAAACCTGAGAAGACTCTACGTTTTCAGCACTGGCTGATCTGTAAACTCCATACAAGCAGGTAGTGAGGGCTGAAAGAGAATTGTAAATTATCCGACTAAGCATTAGAGATGTGCTCCAGCACGTCTGCAAAGAGTTGGAGAGATGTTTTGTTGTGTTTGTTGTTTTTAAGCTGGCTTTCAAGAAAATCTGTCAAAACACTGATTGAACACAAATTCTTCTTCAATCAAGAAGTGAAAACCCTGGGGAAGGGGGAAAATCTAATTTTGAAACCAAGTTGGAATTATTCAGACTTGATTGTTATAAATTTAAAGATGTTAATTGTAATCCCCAAAGTAACCACTAAGAAAGTAACTTCGAAAACTACAGAAAAGAAAAGAAAGTTTTATTATTATCAGGAAAAAATATATATTTTAAGTCAAAAAAGTTTATGAGAGACAAAAAGGCCATTGTATACTGGAAAATATTCAATTCATCACAAGATATAGCAATTATAAACATATATGAACTAAAAGAGCCCCAAAATATATGAAGCAAACTCTGACAGAATTTAAGGGAAAAATAGACAGTTCTACAACAACAGTAGGAGAATTTAATATCCCACTTCTAATAATGGATACAACAGACAGAAGATCAATAAAGAAATACAGGAAATTAACAACACTATAGACTAATTAGAACTAACAGGCATATACAGAACACTCCACTCAGCAAAGACAGAAAACACATCCTTCTCAACTGTGCATATCACATTCAACAAACAGACCGTATGTTTAAAAAAAGTCTTAATAATTTCAAAAAATATTGAAATCATATGAAGTATCTTTTCCAAGTATAATGGAATAAAACTAGAAATCAATAACAGGGACACAACTGCAAAGCTCACAAATCTGTAGAAATTAAGCTACACAATTTTAAAACTGAGTCAAAGAAGAAATCAGAGAAAAATTAGAAAATACTTAGAGAGAAACGAAAATGAAAACACGGCATACCAAAACGTATGGGATGCAATGCTAAAGAGGAAATTTAGAGCTGTAAATAATTACATTAAAAAGAAAAACAATCTCAAATCTATCAACAAAAGGTACACATTAAGGAACTAGTAAAAGAAGAGCAAACTCAATCCAAATTCGGCAGAAAGAAAAAATGAATAAAGAGTAGAGTGAAGATAAGTTAAATAGAGAAAATCAACAAAATCAAAAGATGGTTTTTAGAAAAAATCAACAAACTTGACAAACCTTTAGCTGGAATGACTAACAGAAAAAAAGGAGAGACAATATGCAAATTATTAAAATCAGAAGTGAAAAAAGGGACATTACTACCCACTTTACAGAGATTAAAAGGATTGTAGGAGAATACTATGAACAACTGTGTGCTAACCAACTGGATAAACTAGATGAAATGCACAAATCTCTAGAAAGACATCAACTAGTGAAACTGACTCAAGAAGAAATAGAAAATATGAATAGACCTATAACACATAAGAAGATTAAATCAGTAGTAAAAAACCTCCCAACAAAGAAAAGGTGAGAAACAGATGGCTTTACTGGCAAATGCTATTAAACATTTAAATAAGAATTAACAACAATTCTCAAGGTCTTTAAAAAAATTGAAAAGGAGGAGGCACTTCCTAACTCATTCATAAGACCAGCATTACTTTAATACTAAAGCCAGACAAAGGGCATTATAAGAAAAGAAGACTACAGAACAATATATCTTATAAATATTGATGACAAAATTCTCAACATAATACTAGCAAACTGTACTCAACAGCATCTTAAAAGGATTATAAATGATGATCAAGTGATATTTATCCCAGAAATGGAAGGATGGTTCAACATTTGAAAATCAATCAGTGTGATTAATTTGAGAAAGGAAAATAACTAGACATCATCTCAATTGAAGCAGAAAAAGTATTTGACAAAATCCAATGCCATTTTATGATTAAAAAATATTCAATAAACTAGGAACATAATTAAATTCCTCAACATGATAAAGGCT